GGGTGGAGGGGAGGCTGCATGCACCTGTCCCGCTGCGGGGCCTGGCTGGCAGGGTGGAGGCAGGTCATTCCTTCCAGCCGTCCCACCCCGAGGGCCGAGGCCTCCTGCCCCAGCCTGCTGTGCACCTGCCCACAGGTGATGAAGACCATGGGCCTGAACAACGCGGTGCACTGGGTGGCCTGGTTCATCACCGGCTTCGTGCAGCTGTCCATCTCTGTGACGGCGCTCACGGCCATCCTCAAGTACGGCCAGGTCCTCATGCACAGCCACGTGCTCATCATCTGGCTCTTCTTGGCCGTCTATGCCGTGGCCACCATCATGTTTTGGTGAGCACCGTGTGGCTGGCAGCAGGCCGAGAGGGAGCCTCGCTTGGGTCCTGGCAGAGTATCCCTTGCATTCCCCCAGAAACCCAGGCACACGCAGGAGGGACGTCCCGGGAGGGGTACGGGCTCTGCACCGGGGGCCGGGTGTGGCTGATGACCCGTGCCCCTCCCCCCCCGCCGTGGCCTAGCTTCCTGGTGTCTGTGCTGTACTCCAAGGCCAAGCTGGCCTCAGCCTGTGGCGGCATCATCTACTTTCTGAGCTACGTGCCCTACATGTACGTGGCGATCCGCGAGGAGGTGGCCCACGACAAGATTACGGCCTTTGAAAAGTGCATTGCGGTGAGGGTCATGGGCAGCCGGGGTGGGGGTGGGGCGCGGCCTCCTCCCCCCGCTGACACCGCTGTCCCCTCAGTCCCTGATGTCCACAACAGCCTTCGGCCTGGGCTCCAAGTACTTTGCCCTGTACGAGGTGGCAGGCGTGGGCATCCAGTGGCACACGTTCAGCCAGTCCCCTGTGGAAGGCGATGACTTCAACTTGCTTCTGGCTGTCACCATGCTGGTGGTGGACGCGGCTGTCTATGGCGTGCTCACGTGGTACATTGAGGCCGTGCACCCAGGTATCAGTTGACCCTGTGGAGGGGGAAAGGAGAGGGTGCGTGGCTCCCTGGGGTGGGTGGCGGGCACATGGCCCAGGCTGGATAGCAACCCCGGCCCTCGGTCAGCCTCCCTTCTGCTCCCCCCACCCCTAGGCATGTACGGGCTGCCCCGGCCCTGGTACTTCCCGCTGCAGAAGTCCTACTGGCTGGGCAGCGGGCGCGCAGAGGCCTGGGAGTGGAGCTGGCCGTGGGCACGCGCCCCCCGGCTCAGCGTCATGGAGGAGGACCAGGCCTGTGCTATGGAGAGCCGGCGCTTGGGTGAGGCGGGTGCCAGGGTGGTGGCTGGGGCAGTCACTGGGTTTTCGGGGCCCCGGGCAGCCTTCGCTGACCCGCCGCCCTGGTGCAGAGGAGATGCGGGGCATGGAGGAGGAGCCTACCCACCTGCCGCTGGTAGTTTGCGTGGACAAGCTCACCAAGGTCTACAAGAACGATAAGAAGCTGGCTTTAAACAGGCTGAGCCTGAACCTCTACGAGAACCAGGTGGTGTCCTTCCTGGGACACAATGGGGCTGGCAAGACAACTACCATGTGAGCATCAGGGCAGAGCCCTCACCAAGTGGGCAGCAGGGCGGGCTCCCTGCAGGAGGTGGGGGTCATGACCCTGCATGCCTGCCCAGGTCGATCCTCACTGGTTTGTTCCCGCCGACCTCGGGGTCGGCCACCATCTACGGGCACGACATCCGCACAGAGATGGACGAGATCCGCAAGAACCTGGGCATGTGTCCGCAGCACAACGTGCTCTTTGATCGGCTCACGGTGGAGGAGCACCTCTGGTTCTACTCGAGGCTCAAGAGCATGGCCCAGGAGGAGATCCGCAAGGAGATGGACAAGTGGGTGGGGTGGGGCGGGGAGGGGGCCGAGGGGCTGGGGCAGGGCAGGGCCCAGAGGCGCCCCCAGCATCGCTGGCTCCCAAGGTCCAGGCCCTACACACCCCCACTCCCACGCTGTGTGGCCCTCAGGATGATCGAGGACCTAGAGCTCTCCAATAAGCGGCACTCGCTGGTGCAGACGCTGTCGGGTGGCATGAAGCGCAAGCTCTCGGTGGCCATTGCCTTTGTGGGCGGCTCCCGCGCCATCATCCTGGACGAGCCCACCGCAGGCGTGGACCCTTACGCACGCCGAGCCATCTGGGACCTCATCCTGAAGTACAAGCCGGGTGAGCAGGGCGTGGGGCGGGTGTGGGTGGCCCCCACCTGGCCCTACCCGGCCCAGCGCCCTGACCCCGATCCTGGGCGCCCCCAGGCCGCACCATCCTGCTGTCCACTCACCACATGGACGAGGCTGACGTGCTCGGGGACCGCATCGCCATCATCTCGCACGGGAAGCTCAAGTGCTGTGGTTCCCCGCTCTTCCTCAAGGGCGCCTACGGGGACGGCTACCGGCTCACTCTGGTCAAGCGGCCTGCTGAGCCTGGGGACCCCCAAGGTCTGTGCAGAGGCTGCCTGAGCTGACCTGGGGCCCTCCCACCCCAGGACCCCTCCTCCAAGCCCAGCGAGCTTGAGCGGTGGCCCCCGCTGCTGCCCCAGTGAGCCTAGCGCACCTGGCTGGGCCTGCCTGGGGCTCCCTCTTCTCATGCCCCCTCTTGACTCGGCTGAGCCCCCGGAGAGAATCCCCCTCTGGCAGCCCCTGAGTTCGGCTCCTCTGCATTCCCCTCCCTTCCTAGAGCCAGGGCTGCCAGCCAGCCCCCCAGGCCGCACCCAGCTGAGCAGCTGCTCAGAACCCCAGGTCTCCCAGTTCATCCGCAAGCACGTGGCTTCCTGCCTGCTGGTCTCGGACACTAGCACAGAGCTCTCCTACATCCTGCCCAGCGAGGCCGCCAAGAAGGGGGCCTTCGAGCGTCTCTTCCAGGTGTGGGGTGGGGGGCTCAGGGGCGGGGGTCTCTCCCAG